CAAACGTCGTTGAAAACCAATCGCTTTGCTTTATTAGTAGGACAGAAACATACGACATGTATAATGCTGGTTGTATAGAGTTAAAGTTAAAGAAAATAAAATATTAATTATGTAAAGTAGCACTAGTATGACACAGTGTACTAACTCTGTTCTTCTTGTATGCGAATAGCTGCGAAATTGTTGACGGCTGCGATTTCATATTCATGAAAGTTTTGCCCGACGAGTGTCGTGTTTATCGTTTATTTAGCGTTCGGTATAGTTTCTTTCACTATTGTCCTTTATTTTTAGATGTGGAAGAAATCGTGGCAGCTTTGATGGAATATCCTGTGAGCTCAATTTTTGTCTATAGAGTAACAAACTAATTCAATGTTTTTAGGGAGTTTTGCATCGGCCACAAAAATTGAAACGAATTTTCGCATCTAAGGCATGTCGCAAATCTGTAATGATCGGTATGCACCTGAAAAAAACAGAGATGAAACAGGTAAATGTGTTCTTCGTATGAGGAAAAGTTTTGTAACCTTTTGAAGTATATAAGCAAGAACATTGACCATGTGCGGGAAGGAAGCGCAAGTACACATTACGCTTGTCACAGATATGTAGATAATAGTTTAATAAATGAAGTACTCTGCTGATGGCACTGTAAAGAAGATCAGCGCCGTACCATAAACTTTGCGTTAAAGAACGGTGTAACAGATAACAAATGTTATGAAAATTAATCAGAGGCAGGCATCCCATGCACTGTTTCTTCCTACTGAAAAGTTATGTGAATTCAGAGTATACGATGCGGTTGTGTATCAAGTCTGAAATACTGCTAATGCTATTGTACTCAGACCATTGGCAGTTCGACTTTACTTTTAAGCTACAAAAGCGAATTGGACTTAGTCTATGTCAGTTTGTGAAAGCTGAGAGAGCGGTGTCGCTGATGTGGATATCATACGAAGTTTTGCTTGAGAGCAGAACTTACATTTTCAGTTTCGTAATCCAATGACAGTAAGGTATTCGTCCTTAGCGAAAATGCATCCAATTCCATCTTCTGGACTTGGAAGCTTCTTCTAGGAGAAACTTCTAAACGATTTTTGTAACGAATTAACAAATTGTTCTATAATCTACTCTTTTCTCTCGATGAAAACATATGGGGCACAGCCTCGTGGCATAATTGGCTTCCACCGTCTGTGTTAGATTAATGTTAGAAAACGACAATTCATTAGTTAAACGAAAGGTTCAGATGATGTTGCATGGCCGATATTAAGAAATGAAGAATATGACATTCTTCTCGCCAAGACCCTGGTCGGTTGGGACCATGGAAATGCGATGTAATTTTCCAAATATAAACCTTTATTATGGATTTGATAGCAAACTGCTAGCGGTGCAGTACTGTTGCCCAATTTTCTTTCGGTTTTATAATTCCCTCCAAATTAAGGTTGAAACTTATTGGTTGTTGCTAATGTTCTTTAGACTGAGACACCCTAATTAGTTTTCTTTCGTCGCTTTCATTTTCGAAACCTGCCAGATCATTCAGCTGAAAATCAAGCTTACAGCTGACGTGTGACATGTTCAAATTTTGGCCGACTCATTCGTTATTCTCCCTGTTGGAGTACGTAATCGAACATAATTGTGTTGTGTCGAATTGATGCAGTTAGTTTGCATTACGCGTGTTTCGTCTGTAGATACCTTTTTAGAATATTTTCCTCTTATATAACATCATCATGGACTGTCGGCATAAGAAAAACTATCCACAAGAATGGTTTCATGAGAGAGCGGTTTTTTTGTTTTGTTTTTTCAACCATGATAATTAGTGAATACTTCAAAACTTCATTTACCTGTCATTGCACTGGTTCATAAGTCACTTAACATTCTCTTAGTCTGAATTTGCATGTGATACTTGATATCAGACATTTAATCAGTGTAAAATATTTCATCGTTCTTGGTTTATGCCTTTCTGTCATAATCAGCTTGATCTTGTTTATAGATATTATCCCACTTGGCAGTGACAAGGCAGCCATGGGTAAGATGGCTTTCTTCATGTTTCTCGTACGTTGTTTCATTCATGATTGGAACCTAAAATGAAGTAGAGTTAATCTAATTATAAATGAATATGTTAGCTCATGTCATCTGCTTAATATCATGCTCAAATGCATCAATTTTCGACAGATTATTTGTAAGCATTCAGATTATCATGTTTGTTCACCAACAAAAGTTGCATTTGTTTAAAATCTGATAGACAAATATCTGCAACCTTCGTCGATTTTTTAATTTAGACAAATAAAACGAACTTTCTGCTTAGTAGCCACTAAAAGAATAGTTAAGGCCTCCTCTTTTTCACATCGGCTTACTGAGTGAAGCTCTTATAACCATTTAATGTAATGGGTTTAATTACTATTTTCGGTCAGTCTCTAAATACACTGTGTGCTATATAGGTCACTGTTTTTAATTGTTTACTTTTTTATTTTCATGATCCACTATTCCCGTCAGCTTGAGTTAGCAATAATTTTAAAAAATTGTAGGAGTTGTTTCGTTCCTTCGCTAATCAGGCAAGTTCATTGACAAAATACCAGCTAAATGACGTTCGATATACTCGATCCAGTTTGGCCTTAAGTCTGCCATTTAGTTTTTCAGCCGGAGTCCAACTTCTCACCCTCTTTTCTGGCATTTTGATCAAGTGTCAAAACCATGGCAGTTACGATTTTTCAATTTAGCTTAGTACTTGACACAACAGAAAGCATATCAGATTACATCATTCAAGTTATCTAGTTCCGTCATACCAGCAGTTTTTTTTGTCATGTCATTTTTGCTACTTGTATCCACGATCTTGCTCCTTCTCTCATTGTCATGGTCACGGGCGTGTT